GCTCCCGCCCAGAGTAGGGCACAGTCCTTCACGTGTTGTTCACCTCCCGCACCACACGCTCAGCTTGAATCCAAGTTAGGTGCACAGTCCTGTCGTACAGACCACTATAGGTGGTTCCGACTCGTAGGTGACCCGCGATTATTCGCACAGCCTTCACGTGATCGTAGCACTAGAGCGTTTATATGTTTTGCACCCAGGCCTGTCGTACAGACCACTTTAGGTGGTTCCGACTCGTGGGCAGGTTTAGTTATGGAAATTGAGATTTGAGCTCTAGATTCAGCCGTACAGGTCACTTAGGGGACTCCAGCTGTCAGATGTTATGATATTGATGCGATTTATACCTGAGCACTTGCATGTTGTTATGAGGTTTCGAGATGGCATACCTTTGAGCATGACTTGGCATATCTGCATATATGTGTTTATTTTTCTGGGAAGTATACAGGTTTTACGGCGAGGGGTTAGAATACATTTTATGAAATGATTTTCAAAGATTTGGTTTTTGCCCACTCACGCTTTTGTTTTGCGCCCCTCCAGGTTCTAGTAGCTTAGCGGGTTTGGTGGTTTTCCCGGAGGACGTCCCGGCATTCTGACAGACACTTGTAAAACAATATGATCCCTACAGAAAAATTCAACCAAATAAGCTGTTGCCTAATTTCTAAAGGAAAGATGCATAAGATTTGGATGAGCCAAAAATGTAATTAATAATTTCCCAACTTGTGAATATCATTTAAGACCAATTTTGACTTAAGAAAAAAATATATAAAGCAAGCACATTTCAACTCAATCCACTTACTCAACAAAACCAAATTCCAACTACTTTATTTGAATTGAACTTAAAAGGATTGAATTCATATTTTTCTCAAAACCATGTAATTTCATTCATTTAGAACAAACATGACACAAGAAAATGTAGCTTTTGGAGTAACATAAATAGTAAAATATGCGCTCATCAAATACCCCCAAACTTACATTTTGCTTGTCCTCGAGCAAAAGAAAGAGATACATGAAAATTAGTAGCATAAAAAAAAAAAAACGTTAGCTTCCCCCTATGTGACCCTCAAAGAATCTTTTGCAAGATGCATCATAATTAAGTTCGTAATAAGCACAAAGCAAATGAATCAACCACATTCCAATTCTTAGCAAAAACCTTTCAATCATCCTTGAAGTGTAGTGTGTGGATTAACCATGCCAATGCAATTCCAAGCTTCTTAAAATCATCATATGCAAACAAGTGACATCCTCACCGGGCATACACTCATTCACTCATATTTCTGGGTAATGTGTTTCACTCAAGTGATTTCAATCAAACATGCCGCCATATGCTTGCTTGTCAACCTACCTCGCTATTAACATCATGTAATTACTTGGATCTATAGGACTTTAATTTGGTTGCAATGGGGTTAAGGGTGATAGGCTAATGAAAGAAAGGATATGGAAACCAAAAGTTTTGAGAAAGAACACATTAGCAGTTTTCCAACACCAATATCACACCCACTCAAATTGAAAGCAAACAACATAACCCGTAGCAATTGCTACTCCCCCACATTTTCAACATCTCAGCAAAATATATATATATATATATATATATATATATTTTTTTTTTTTGAATGAATATTCATGACAGTACCCTGCAGATTTTTAACCCTTTCCCTTCTCTTTTTAATCATACTCAAATCTGCAGAGCTTCATCATCCCTCAAATTCACATTTCATTGTAATACACATATTTCATCCATTTTTTTTTCTATATAAATAAAACCCCAAAAGCACGACCTATGTAATACTTTCTCAAAACAATAAGGGATCGATTTCTGTGTATGGGCTCAACTCCAATATCGGAGCATGGTAAAGAGATGTGTCTAACAAAGAAATGGCTAAGTTAAAAGCTCAACGGGCTACTAAGGATGAACATAGCATATAAGGTAGGCATGAAAGGCTCAAACGACCCAAAGAAGGCCTATATCACTTCCAAGTTATTACATGAATTGATGAATAAATCAAGAGGTATAAAGCAAGTTCTAGAGATACATGTAAGAATGATATCAAACGCACAAGAATAAATGTGATTGCTGCATGATAGTTCAACCACAAAATAGGCTCAAAAGCTCACAAGGATTACATGAAGTCACTATATTCACATATGAAGTGTTAAACCATGCTTTAGTTTCACATCAACAAGGCAAAGTGCATTCAGTTTTCCAAAAATGATCGAACGTGTATAAAGCTAACAAAATGAATAAAGAGATTCATCTAAAACATGCTTACGACTTTCTCAATACTCATAGTTCAAATTCAATTCAATTTCATCATTGGGTCGGGAAGCTAACGAAAATCTAACTGAAAATAAGAAATAAAAACAAAGTTTCTGATTTTTATAGAATTTTAATTTTTTTTTTTTTTTTTTTTTTTTTTTATAAAAAAAACTAACTTAAAGTAAATAATTAAAAAGGGAGGATCCAGCCAATTAAAAGCAACATGCTTATTACAAATGAGACAGTCAGACTAAACAAATTCTCTTCATCCAGGGCTTTAAAATCTCACTCCTACCCCCTAAACTTAGATGAGACATTGTCCTCAATGTCAAGAAATAAAGCACGTAAACAGAAGAAGGGAAGGATAAATGAATAATATCACTTGAACAGAGAAACTCCCCTGATTTATGCTTCACATGGAAGCCATGGTGTTCAATGCAATAGCCACCCCCAAACTTAAACATTCGCGGTCTCAATCATTGTTATGTGGCAGCTAGACGTCCCTACACCAACAGAAAATAGTCAGCGAGTAGCAAATAAGTGAAGACAGAAAACAAAACAAAGAAAACGAAAAATAGGAAATTAAACAAATAGAAAATATAAGAAAAGCATGGGTTGCCTCCCATGAAGCACTGAATTTATAGTCTTCAGCCGGACTATAGTGTTGCTCAGGCGCGATCAAATAAAGGGATGTCAATCTTCATTGCATCGAAGTTGACTTCCAAATAAGGTTTCAATCGTTGACCGTTAACTTTGAATGCATTCCCAGTCTCCAGATTTTGCACTTCAACTGCCCCATGAGGAAAGACTTGTAATACTAGAAATGGACCATACCAACGTGAACGAAGCTTTCCAGGAAAAAGCTTCAATCTAGAATTGTACAACAACACCTTCTAACCAACATAGAACTCTTTTCGCAGGATGTTTTTATCATGCCAACGCTTGGTTTTTTCCTTGTAAATTTGAGCATTCTCATAAGCCTCGTTTCTCAACTCCTCAAGCTCATCTAATTGCAAAAGCCTTTTCTGTCCAGCTGCTTGAAAATCGAAATTAAGCTTCTTGATTGCCCAATAAGCCTTGTGCTCGAGTTCAACTGGCAAGTGACAAGCTTTCCCGAAAACCAATCTGTATGGAGACATCCCAATGGGTGTTTTGTAAGCTGTTCTATACGCCCATAGTGCATCATCTAAGCGAAGAGACCAATCTTTACGTGATGCATTCACCGTCTTCTCCAGAATTCGCTTAATCTCTCTATTTGACACCTCCACTTGGCCACTAGTTTGAGGATGGTATGGCGTAGCGACCTTATGAGTGATATTATACTTGGCCAAAAGAGCTTTAAACTGTTTATTACAAAAATGAGAACCTCCATCACTTATAATCGCTCTTGGTGTTCCAAACCGAGTGAAAATGTTAGCCTTGAGAAACCGTAGAACAATTCTAGCATCATTGGTTGGTGTGGCAATGGCTTCCACCCACTTAGAAACATAGTCGACAGCCACCAAAATATATTTGTGCTTATATGATGAAGGAAAAGGCCCCATAAAGTCTATGCCCCATAAAAATATTTTGCTGAGATGTTGAAAATGTGGGGGAGTAGCAATTGCTACGGGTTATGTTGTTTGCTTTCAATTTGAGTGGGTGTGATATTGGTGTTGGAAAACTGCTAATGTGTTCTTTCTCAAAACTTTTGGTTTCCATATCCTTTCTTTCATTAGCCTATCACCCTTAACCCCATTGCAACCAAATTAAAGTCCTATAGATCCAAGTAATTACATGATGTTAATAGCGAGGTAGGTTGACAAGCAAGCATATGGCGGCATGTTTGATTGAAATCACTTGAGTGAAACACATTACCCAGAAATATGAGTGAATGAGTGTATGCCCGGTGAGGATGTCACTTGTTTGCATATGATGATTTTAAGAAGCTTGGAATTGCATTGGCATGGTTAATCCACACACTACACTTCAAGGATGATTGAAAGGTTTTTGCTAAGAATTGGAATGTGGTTGATTCATTTGCTTTGTGCTTATTACGAACTTAATTATGATGCATCTTGCAAAAGATTCTTTGAGGGTCACATAGGGGGAAGCTAACGTTTTTTTTTTTTTATGCTACTAATTTTCATGTATCTCTTTCTTTTGCTCGAGGACAAGCAAAATGTAAGTTTGGGGGTATTTGATGAGCGCATATTTTACTATTTATGTTACTCCAAAAGCTACATTTTCTTGTGTCATGTTTGTTCTAAATGAATGAAATTACATGGTTTTGAGAAAAATATGAATTCAATCCTTTTAAGTTCAATTCAAATAAAGTAGTTGGAATTTGGTTTTGTTGAGTAAGTGGATTGAGTTGAAATGTGCTTGCTTTATATATTTTTTTCTTAAGTCAAAATTGGTCTTAAATGATATTCACAAGTTGGGAAATTATTAATTACATTTTTGGCTCATCCAAATCTTATGCATCTTTCCTTTAGAAATTAGGCAACAGCTTATTTGGTTGAATTTTTCTGTAGGGATCATATTGTTTTACAAGTCTAAAAGGACGTTGACTAGTCAACTAGACCGTTCACTTGCGCGTGGCTTCTTACCAATTCCATGGGAAAGAGTTTTTATTGTTTTCTGTTCCAAAAGAAAGAAAAGGTTGCATTCACCTCTTGGCATTCTACAAGGGTAGCCGACCAATTCCATTTCAAGAAAAAAGAAAAGAAAATCACCAAAGTTTCAATCGGTGGATCTCTACAAGAAGATGAATCTGGAGCATTGGGGTTTTGGCGTGAAGGCATTAAAGAGAGATTTGGCTGTTGATGTTTTAATTGGATTTGCTGAGTTATTGAAATCAAGGGGTAAAACAACAGCAAGGAGATCAAGGGTACAAGTTTGTCAGAATTCATTTGGGTGCTTTAATGTACCAAAGAGTGGCCAGCAAACATAATTGAAGATTTCTACCGTTTCTTTGTTTACTATCAGCAATCAATTGGGGTTAAGGTTTTCTTCGGTTACAGAAACGTAAAAGGGGAAAAGAAAACAAAAAAAGAAGGAAAAGCAGGCGGAGGAAAGAGGACGACGAAGAGAGGTGCGGAAAAGCAGGGGGATTATTTTTCAGGCCTTTTCTAAACTAAATTTTCTTCTAATTTTATGATGGATTCGGTTCCAATTTCGATTATGTGTTGGAACTAATTTCATTTGCTAGGGCTACGATGTAGCCTAACTATGAATTCTTAATTTTTCAGTTTAATTAGTTATGAATATTCATTCACTTTGAGTATCATTTTGTTGTGCTTATGAGCTTGATTTTGATTCTTGTGATTGGCTACCACTTGGGTTTGAATTGAGTATATGTGATGCGAGTTAACGCATATGCCATGTTATTAATTCGGTTTTAGCGTCTTGCAAGTGGTACCATGAATTCCTTGTTGTAGATGCCATACACTAGGTTTCATGCGGTTTTTTTAGTTAGTTCCCAAACTGTAAATGAACTTGTGTGTGTTTAGTAGTCTAGATGCCATAGATTATTAGCACATATGAATATACGTAGTAATCTAGATGCCATGGATACTATATGAATTAGAGGAACTAGACCGTCAAGTTGGATGTTTATTTGTTGAGAATTAACTGTTGGAATTAAGTAGGATTGGTTATGGTGAATCGGATGCTCTAGTGTTTTTCACAATTGAATTATAATTTGTTTACTTTGTAGTTGTCATCACTTAGCTAAGTTCATTTCATTTTATTTACATCACCATTTCAAAATTCTCATTCAAATCATCAATTTTTCTTTTCCAATTCAAATGAAACTTAAATTTAGTTAAATAGTTAGAATTACATTCAATCTTAGTTGGAACGATCTTGTGCTTGCCTACTATATTATACTACGATTCGTACACTTGCGAGCATTAAAATTTCGGACTTAATTGGGTTGATTTTGATTAATCTAATTTTAGCAACAAGTTTTTGGCGCCGTCGACGAAGATTGAGTTAGTTCTGTTGCTAACTTATTTTTATTGTTATTTGTGTGATTTTAATTGTTGTTTCTGTTTTCTTTTGCTTTCAGGTACATTTTGAAGTTCATGCACGGTCGCCGTTCTCGGAGTTTAGAGCTTGTACCATTTGATCCAGAGATCGAAAGGACTTTTTATCACTTACTAAGAGAGCAAACTAAGCAAGAATTGATTGACGAAATGGCTCTCCCTAATCCGGACGAGAACCGAACGTTGATGGAGTATTCCGCTCCTACTGTGACAACCTCACCGTCATGCATCGTTCGACCGGAAGTTGCTGCCAACAACTTCGAATTGAAGCCGTCTTTCATTCAAATGATGCCATCATATTATGGCTTGACTGCTGAAGATCCTAACTTGCATATCAATGAGTTCCTCGAGATATGTGACACTCTCAAGATTCATCATGTGCCAAGTGAGGCTATCAGATTACGAATGTTCCCATTTTCCCTGAAAGATAAGGCGAAGAATTGGCTCCATTCACTTCCATCGAATTCGATAACAACTTGGAATGATTTGGCCAACAAATTTTTGCAGAAATTTTTCCCTCCTTCCAAGACTGCAAAGCTAAGGAACGAAATAATGACTTTTGCTCAATTCCAAGGCGAGCCTTTCTATGAGAGTTGGGAGAGATTCAGAGACTTATTACTAAAGTGTCCACATCATGGTTTGCCGGAATGGTTGCAGCTTCAGTCTTTCTATCAAGGTTTGAGCGCTGACAATAAGCGAATGATAGATGCTGCCAGTGGGGGTGTTATAATGACTAAAACTGTTGACGAGGCATCTACACTTTTCAATACCTTGGCTGCCAATTCTCAAAACTGGGGAGGAGAAAGAGAACAACCAAAGAAAGCTGGCGTACATGAGATTGATGCATTTACGGCTATGGCTGCCCAAATTTCTAACTTAAATAAGAAATTTGATTCTTTAATGTCTTCTAATCAGTCAAAAATGGTTTCTAATATGTGTGAAATTTGTGCAGGTCCACATTCTAGTATAAATTGTCCTATGAAGGGTTCATTTCCGGAGTTCATTGAAGAACAAGCCAATCAAATTGGAAATTTTAATCGCCAACAGTTTAATCCATTCTCTGACAAGTATAATCCTGGTTGGCGTCAACATCCCAATTTTGCTTGGAAGAACAATCAACAAATTCAAGTGAACCCATCTCCACCGTTCCAGAATAATGAAGCCAAGAAAAGTTCAATGGAAGATATGATGGCTCAGTTGGCTCAAACTACCAACACTCTCGCTCAAAACACCAATAATTTTATGCAAGCAACTCAAACTTCTCTACAAAATCAGCAAGCATCTATTCGTAAGCTAGAGGATCAAGTTGGGCAGATTGCACATGCAATGGTTGAGAGGGAGAAGGGCAAGTTTCCCAGTCAAACTGAGATTAATCCAAGGAATATGGAGCAATTAAAGGTTATTACACTCAGGAGTGGGAGAACTATAGAGACAAATGGTGAAGAAAATAGGACGTTGGTTGAAAAGTCTGAGAATGTTGTCACCGAAGTACAAGAAAGTTTTATGAATTCAGGTGCTCAAGTGCCGAATATTGTTCCTCATGCATCAGATTCTACACGTCTAGGCGATTCGATTTTGGAGAGGGTCAATGTTGCGCCAGTTCCATATCCTCAACGACTTCAGAAGGCTAAGAAAGACCAAAACTTTTCTCATATCTTAGAGTTATTTAAAAAAGTGAACATTAACATACCTCTACTTGATGCAGTGAAACAAATTCCCAGTTATGCAAAGTTCTTGAAGGATGCATGTACGAACAAGAGGAGGTTTTTGGAGCATGAAAAAGTAATGCTTTCGGAAGAGTGTAGTGCTATTTTACAAAAGAAGTTGCCACCGAAATTGACCGATACAGGGAGTTTTACGATTCCTTGCACAATTGGAAAATCTTCTTTTGAAAAACCTTTATGTGATCTTGGTGCTAGTATTAACTTGATGCCATATTCTATTTTTAAACAGCTAGGTTTGGGCGAAATGAAACCTACTCTTGTGTCTCTACAACTAGCGGATCGATCTGTCACTTATCCACGAGGCATTGTCGAAGATGTGTTGGTTCGAGTTGATCAGTTAATCCTACCTGCAGATTTCTTGATTCTTGATATGGAAGAAGATAGAGAGATTCCAATTATACTTGGTCGTCCATTCTTAGCTATTGCTGGTACATTGATTGATGTCAAAAGTGGTTTACTTACTTTGCGAGTTGAAGACAAAGAAGTGGTGTTCAAAGTTTTTGAAGCTATTAAGCATCCAAGAGAGCAGGAAGAATGTTTTAGTATTGATATCTTAAATCAGATTGTGAGCGAGCAGTTCCGAGCACAACATCCAACTGAACCTCTCGAAGCTTGTCTAGTTCATTCATCCATTCCTAGAGTTGAAGTGGAAGAAGTTACTGAAATTGTCAATATTCTCAATTCTGCCCCTCCACATAATCTGCATTGGAGACACCATTACGAAGCTTTAGGACCTGCCCCAGTGAAAATTTATCCATCTGTTGAAGTTGCACCGAAGCTAAGCTTGAAACAATTGCCTACCCATCTGAGGTATGCATTTTTAGGTGCTTCCGAGTCATTGCCAGTGATTATTGCAGCCAAGTTAACTTCTCTCGAAGAAGAAAAATTGCTTCGAGTACTCAGAGATTACAAGACAACATTGGGATGGACTATAGCTGACATTAAAGGCATCAGCCCAACCTTATGTATGCATCGAATTCTTCTTGAAGAAGACAGCAAGCCCATTATTGAGGCACAAAGGAGGCTCAATCCACTTATGAAGGAAGTTGTCCGAGCAGAAGTTCTCAAGCTTTTAGATGTGGGAGTTATCTTCCCAATATCCGATAGTAAATGGGTGAGTCCGGTTCAAGTAGTTCCAAAGAAGAAAGGCATCACTGTGGCTAAAAATGACAACAATGAGTTAGTGCCCATAAGACCGAAAACAGATTGGCGAGTTTGCACAGATTATCGAAAGATAAACAATGACACACGCAAGGATCATTTTCCTTTGCCATTCATTGATCAGATGTTGGAGAGACTTGCAGGTCATTCCCACTACTGTTTCTTAGATGGCTATTCTGGATATAACCAGATTGCCATTGCGCCAGAAGATCAGGAGAAAACGACGTTCACTTGTCCATTTGGGACGTTTGCTTATCGAAGAATGCCTTTCGGACTTTGCAACGCACCTGCCACTTTTCAAAGGTGTATGATGAGTATTTTTTCTGACATGATTGAAAAGTTTATCGAAGTCTTCATGGATGATTTTTCTGTCTTTGGATCTTCCTTTGATGATTGTCTTCACAATTTGACACTTGTGCTGAAACGGTGTCAAGAGACGAACTTAGTGTTGAACTGGGAAAAATGTCATTTCATGGTGCAAGAGGGCATTGTATTGGGGCATTGAATTTCTAGCCTAGGTATTGAGGTTGATCGAGCAAAAATTGATCTTATTGAAAAACTTCTAGCACCTACATCAGTTAAAGGAGTCCGAAGTTTCCTTGGCCATGCGGGGTTCTACCGGCGATTTATTAAAGACTTCTCCAAAATAGCCAAGCCTCTTAGCAACTTACTGCAAAAAGATGTCACATTTGAGTTCAATTTGGAGTGTTTGTCTGCTTTTAACACTTTGAAGAAGCTTCTCACATCAGCTCCTATTATTACAGCACCCGATTGGAATCTTCCATTTGAATTGATGTGTGATGCAAGTGACTGTCGTGGGAGCAGTTTTGGGACAGCGAAAGGACAAATTACCTCATGTTATTTACTATGCTAGTCGCACGCTAAATGATGCCCAGTTGAACTATTCAACCACTGAAAAAGAGTTGTTAGCTGTAGTATTTGCGCTTGACAAGTTTCGGTCCTATCTTATTTGTTCAAAGGTTATTGTGTACACTGACCACGCTGCCTTGAAATATCTTTTATCCAAAAAAGATGCAAAGCCGAGACTGATTAGATGGGTACTTCTTCTCCAAGAATTTGATCTCGAGATTCGAGATAAGAAGGGGTCCGAAAATGTGGTGGCAGATCATCTATCTAGGATAGTTCGAGAAGAAGATGTTGATATCGTTGTGCCATTCACTGAGACTTTTCCTGATGAACAATTGTTTGCTGCTAAACATGGTGCAGTCCCTTGGTTTGCTGACTTTGCAAATTATTTGGCAAGTGGGGTGGTTCCGAAGGATTTGAATTTTCAACAAAGAAAGAAATTCTTCTCTCTAGTGAAGCACTATTTTTGGGATGATCCCTACTTGTATAAGCATTGTCCAGATCAAATCATTCGCAGGTGTGTTCCTGAAGATGAGCAGCAAAGTATTTTGAACCATTGCCATTCATATGCTTGTGGAGGGCATTTTGGAGCAACAAAGACATCAGCCAAAGTTCTACAATCTGGATTCTTTTGGCCAACCTTGTTTAAGGATTCTCATGCATTTGTTGTTGCTTGTGATCGATGTCAAAGGCTTGGTAATATCTCTCGTAGAAATGAGATGCCGTTGAATAACATTTTGATAGTTGAGCTTTTTGATTTATGGGGCATAGACTTTATGGGGCCTTTTCCTTCATCATATAAGCACAAATATATTTTGGTGGCTGTCGACTATGTTTCTAAGTGGGTGGAAGCCATTGCCACACCAACCAATGATGCTAGAATTGTTCTACGGTTTCTCAAGGCTAACATTTTCACTCGGTTTGGAACACCAAGAGCGATTATAAGTGATGGAGGTTCTCATTTTTGTAATAAACAGTTTAAAGCTCTTTTGGCCAAGTATAATATCACTCATAAGGTCGCTACGCCATACCATCCTCAAACTAGTGGCCAAGTGGAGGTGTTAAATAGAGAGATTAAGCGAATTCTGGAGAAGACGGTGAATGCATCACGTAAAGATTGGTCTCTTCGCTTAGATGATGCACTATGGGCGTATAGAACAGCTTACAAAACACCCATTGGGATGTCTCCATACAGATTGGTTTTCGGGAAAGCTTGTCACTTGCCAGTTGAACTCGAGCACAAGGCTTATTGGGCAATCAAGAAGCTTAATTTCGATTTTCAAGCAGCTGGACAGAAAAGGCTTTTGCAATTAGATGAGCTTGAGGAGTTGAGAAACGAGGCTTATGAGAATGCTCAAATTTACAAGGAAAAAACCAAGCGTTGGCATGATAAAAACATCCTGCGAAAAGAGTTCTATGTTGGTCAGAAGGTGTTGTTGTACAATTCTAGATTGAAGCTTTTTCCTGGAAAGCTTCGTTCACGTTGGTATGGTCCATTTCTAGTATTACAAGTCTTTCCTCATGGGGCAGTTGAAGTGCAAAATCTGGAGACCGGGAATGCATTCAAAGTTAACGGTCAACGATTGAAACCTTATTTGGAAGTCAACTTCGATGCAATGAAGATTGACATCCCTTTATTTGATCGCGCCTGAGCAACACTATAGTCCGGCTGAAGACTATAAATTCAGTGCTTCATGGGAGGCAACCCATGCTTTTCTTATATTTTCTATTTGTTTAATTTCCTATTTTTCGTTTTCTTTGTTTTGTTTTCTGTCTTCACTTATTTGCTACTCGCTGACTATTTTCTGTTGGTGTAGGGACGTCTAGCTGCCACATAACAATGATTGAGACCGCGAATGTTTAAGTTGGGGGTGGCTATTGCATTGAACACCATGGCTTCCATGTGAAGCATAAATCAGGGGAGTTTCTCTGTTCAAGTGATATTATTCATTTATCCTTCCCTTCTTCTGTTTACGTGCTTTATTTCTTGACATTGAGGACAATGTCTCATCTAAGTTTAGGGGGTAGGAGTGAGATTTTAAAGCCCTGGATGAAGAGAATTTGTTTAGTCTGACTGTCTCATTTGTAATAAGCATGTTGCTTTTAATTGGCTGGATCCAACCTTTTTAATTATTTACTTTAAGTTAGTTTTTTTTATAAAAAAAAAAAAAAAAAAAAAAAAAAAAATTAAAATTCTATAAAAATCAGAAACTTTGTTTTTATTTCTTATTTTCAGTTAGATTTTCGTTAGCTTCCCGACCCAATGATGAAATTGAATTGAATTTGAACTATGAGTATTGAGAAAGTCGTAAGCATGTTTTAGATGAATCTCTTTATTCATTTTGTTAGCTTTATACACGTTCGATCATTTTTGGAAAACTGAATGCACTTTGCCTTGTTGATGTGAAACTAAAGCATGGTTTAACACTTCATATGTGAATATAGTGACTTCATGTAATCCTTGTGAGCTTTTGAGCCTATTTTGTGGTTGAACTATCATGCAGCAATCACATTTATTCTTGTGCGTTTGATATCATTCTTACATGTATCTCTAGAACTTGCTTTATACCTCTTGATTTATTCATCAATTCATGTAATAACTTGGAAGTGATATAGGCCTTCTTTGGGTCGTTTGAGCCTTTCATGCCTACCTTATATGCTATGTTCATCCTTAGTAGCCCGTTGAGCTTTTAACTTAGCCATTTCTTTGTTAGACACATCTCTTTACCATGCTCCGATATTGGAGTTGAGCCCATACACAGAAATCGATCCCTTATTGTTTTGAGAAAGTATTACATAGGTCGTGCTTTTGGGGTTTTATTTATATAGAAAAAAAAATGGATGAAATATGTGTATTACAATGAAATGTGAATTTGAGGGATGATGAAGCTCTGCAGATTTGAGTATGATTAAAAAGAGAAGGGAAAGGGTTAAAAATCTGCAGGGTACTGTCATGAATATTCATTCAAAAAAAAAAATATATATATATATATATATATATATATTTTGCTGAGATGTTGAAAATGTGGGGGAGTAGCAATTGCTACGGGTTATGTTGTTTGCTTTCAATTTGAGTGGGTGTGATATTGGTGTTGGAAAACTGCTAATGTGTTCTTTCTCAAAACTTTTGGTTTCCATATCCTTTCTTTCATTAGCCTATCACCCTTAACCCCATTGCAACCAAATTAAAGTCCTATAGATCCAAGTAATTACATGATGTTAATAGCGAGGTAGGTTGACAAGCAAGCATATGGCGGCATGTTTGATTGAAATCACTTGAGTGAAACACATTACCCAGAAATATGAGTGAATGAGTGTATGCCCGGTGAGGATGTCACTTGTTTGCATATGATGATTTTAAGAAGCTTGGAATTGCATTGGCATGGTTAATCCACACACTACACTTCAAGGATGATTGAAAGGTTTTTGCTAAGAATTGGAATGTGGTTGATTCATTTGCTTTGTGCTTATTACGAACTTAATTATGATGCATCTTGCAAAAGATTCTTTGAGGGTCACATAGGGGGAAGCTAACGTTTTTTTTTTTTTATGCTACTAATTTTCATGTATCTCTTTCTTTTGCTCGAGGACAAGCAAAATGTAAGTTTGGGGGTATTTGATGAGCGCATATTTTACTATTTATGTTACTCCAAAAGCTACATTTTCTTGTGTCATGTTTGTTCTAAATGAATGAAATTACATGGTTTTGAGAAAAATATGAATTCAATCCTTTTAAGTTCAATTCAAATAAAGTAGTTGGAATTTGGTTTTGTTGAGTAAGTGGATTGAGTTGAAATGTGCTTGCTTTATATATTTTTTTCTTAAGTCAAAATTGGTCTTAAATGATATTCACAAGTTGGGAAATTATTAATTACATTTTTGGCTCATCCAAATCTTATGCATCTTTCCTTTAGAAATTAGGCAACAGCTTATTTGGTTGAATTTTTCTGTAGGGATCATATTGTTTTACAAGTCTAAAAGGACGTTGACTAGTCAACTAGACCGTTCACTTGCGCGTGGCTTCTTACCAATTCCATGGGAAAGAGTTTTTATTGTTTTCTGTTCCAAAAGAAAGAAAAGGTTGCATTCACCTCTTGGCATTCTACAAGGGTAGCCGACCAATTCCATTTCAAGAAAAAAGAAAAGAAAATCACCAAAGTTTCAATCGGTGGATCTCTACAAGAAGATGAATCTGGAGCATTGGGGTTTTGGCGTGAAGGCATTAAAGAGAGATTTGGCTGTTGATGTTTTAATTGGATTTGCTGAGTTATTGAAATCAAGGGGTAAAACAACAGCAAGGAGATCAAGGGTACAAGTTTGTCAGAATTCATTTGGGTGCTTTAATGTACCAAAGAGTGGCCAGCAAACATAATTGAAGATTTCTACCGTTTCTTTGTTTACTATCAGCAATCAATTGGGGTTAAGGTTTTCTTCGGTTACAGAAACGTAAAAGGGGAAAAGAAAACAAAAAAAGAAGGAAAAGCAGGCGGAGGAAAGAGGACGACGAAGAGAGGTGCGGAAAAGCAGGGGGATTATTTTTCAGGCCTTTTCTAAACTAAATTTTCTTCTTATTTTATGATGGATTCGGTTGGCTACCCTTGTAGAATGCCAAGAGGTGAATGCAACCTTTTCTTTCTTTTGGAACAGAAAACAATAAAAACTCTTTCCCATGGAATTGGTAAGAAGCCACGCGCAAGTGAACGGTCTAGTTGACTAGTCAACGTCCTTTTAGACTTGTAAAACAATATGATCCCTACAGAAAAATTCAACCAAATAAGCTGTTGCCTAATTTCTAAAGGAAAGATGCATAAGATTTGGATGAGCCAAAAATGTAATTAATAATTTCCCAACTTGTGAATATCATTTAAGACCAATTTTGACTTAAGAAAAAAATATATAAAGCAAGCACATTTCAACTCAATCCACTTACTCAACAAAACCAAATTCCAACTACTTTATTTGAATTGAACTTAAAAGGATTGAATTCATATTTTTCTCAAAACCATGTAATTTCATTCATTTAGAACAAACATGACACAAGAAAATGTAGCTTTTGGAGTAACATAAATAGTAAAATATGCGCTCATCAACACTCACCTACGTAGGGTCACCTTCGGGTGCACTTTTGTTGTATTGTTTCTTTTGGACTGCTGTAGGCTTAAAGCTCTGAATTCAGCGTCTTACTTTTGCTAGCACATACTTTATCACATTATATTTGCTAGTTTTAAATTATTCGTACTTTCATATTACGGTTTTTAGCTTCCGCACTTTGCACATGGCTACGTCACTTCCACGTGACGGCCAGCACGCCCTGATCTTGGTTGGGGTGTGTCATATATTCATAACTATTGAAATTAGGGAAGCAAACTTTGTTGCGGATGTTATCACCTCGTGTGGGCATACGTTAAATAATCTTCATGTTTGGGTTGGTTGTGTTCCTTCTACAACTACCAGTGCCTTGTTGTTTGACTCTAGGGGCCTTGGGTGTTCCTAGGGTTTTTCCCTCTCTTAATTTAATTTTCTTCCTCAAAAGAAATAAATATTGAAATTATTTCATCATTTGTTTCGTCTTTCTCCTATAGTAATTGTTGTATTTGTTTTTGTCATCCTTTTCCTTTTTTTCATGGGACCAATTTGCTTTAATTTGCAATCATATATGGCTTATCATAAACACTTCCGAAAAGTTTTGTTATGCTTTTGATGATTTGGATGTGGATATTTAATGACAGAATTAAAATCTATTAAATTTTAATGTGTTTCAAAATGAATAATTTTTTTGCATTGACGAAGATAGATATAACCATTAACCAATGGTTAATTTGCAGTTATGGACATGGTTAATTTTTCTGGTTACTTGAATGGATATGTTATTCATTTTCTTATTCAAATAGAGGTAGAGATGGCATGGCAATGGTTCGGTATAGAGACGAATGATTTTTGAAGTATTGCATTGTGAAGCCAAAAGGATAAATTTATATTTTTATAAGACATATGATAGTTTAATTCAAAAATAAATTTTGAAAATGAAAACATTGAAAAACATGTATGGTATCAATATCTAAAATGTATAAATTTGTGTTTGGTAGTAATGTTTTGTAATATAACTAAGGTATGATGGTGTCAGTGGTAGAGGTTGCGGTTGCGGAGTACAGCTAGCAGATTGAACTCAACCCGTTAATCCAACACAATTCACTTCCAAAAATTCAAAATTTAGGTGAATGTTTAACAGGTCATGTCAATAACTGTTGGATTTGTTCACAACCTGTTAGTTAACAATTGGTTTTAGGTCAAATCGTGAAACTGTTAGCTTTCACATACAAGAGCAATGATTGTTGGAGTGATGATAATAGGGGTTGCATAAACCTATGGTAGTGAACTAGGCCAATAGTGGTTAGAGTTTGCAATTTGCCAAGTCTCAGGCTGAATAGTATGCAACAGTTCAGCTCCTACTTAAAATCTGAGGGTATGTAGGTGTGAAAGCATCCCTTGAAGTTCTTCCTTAGAAACTAGGGGTGGGTTCAAAAAACCGAAAAAAATCAAACCTAAGCCAAAAAAACCAAACCAAAAAAAAAAGCAAACTGAAATTGGTTGGTTCAGTTTCGGTTTTGGTGGTCCGGAAACCGAACCGAGCCAAACTGAACCAATAGATATT